TTTCCCCATCGAAGTATGACTAGATTCTATGAAAAGATAACACACAACCCAAACGTCCATCGACAGATGAATGGATAAAGAAGATGTGGTACATATGTACAATGGAATATTACTCCACCATTAAAAAGAATGAAATAATGCCATTTGCAGCAACATGCATGGAAATGGAGATTACCATACTAAGTGAAGTAAGTCAGAAAAAGACAAATATCACATGCTATCACTTATATGTGGAATCTAAAAAACAACATGACACAAATGAACTTATTTACAAAACAGAAATAGACTCATAGGCATAAAAAATAATCTTACAGTTACCAAAGGGGAAATCAGGGTGAGAGATAAATTAGGAGCTTGGGATTAGCAAATACAATCTACTATATATAAAATAGATAAACAACAAGGTCTTACTGTATAGCACAGGGAACTATATTCAATATCTTTTAATAACCTAAATTGGAAAAGAATCTGAAAAAGAATAGATACATATACATATGTGTATGTGTAACTGAATCGCTTTGCTGTACACTGGAAACTAACACAACATTATAAATCAACTATAGTTCAATAAAAAAAGGTAAAACACAAACAGTAATAATATCCATCTAACAGCACTAAGACCAAACTTTACTGACACCTGTCTTAATTCTCTTCACTTTGGCATTCACATAACAAATAGTTAGCATTTTACTACAATGTGCCAATCATTGTTTTGGACCCTGAAAAGTGCTATGAAGGATTTCACGTTCCCCATAAATCTGAGATGCTTATGCCCTAGAAGGAAACCTTCCATTCATTTGTTCATTCAACAAGTATTCATTGGCCATTAAAAACTAATCAGACATTTTGTTCATTGCTGAGGATTTTGTGGTAGAATTTTTCCTTACTTTTATGATACTTAGAGTCCGGTAGGGAATTAAACATAAAATGATCACAACAATAAATGTAAAATTCATATTATTTGTAATGAACAGTGCAAAGTAAGATAACAAGAAATGCTTGCCTTGAGAGTCTGGGAAAGATTTCATGAGAAAGCAACATTTGAGTTGAGATCTCAAGGTTAGTTATTTGAAAAGAATCTTCCTAGCAGAGAGGAAAACAGGTAAAGATCATGTTTCCAGAGGAAAGATGATTGGAAAACTCAAAGAAGGACACAGTGGCAAGGATAAGAGAACATAGCTTAAGAGGATGCTGCAGAGAGATGCAATGAAGATATCACCTGAGGCTTCCAAGAACACATTAAAGATTTTGCTAGCTATTCATTCCTAAAAGCAATGAGAATTCACAGAAGGTTGTGAAACGGGAGAATAGCATGATTCTGTGTGAAACAGAGAACTTCTCCCAACTAGCTGTAGAAACAATGGGTTGAAGGATCGCAAGAGTCTAGTAGTTCATTGGAGAGAGGATGCCACCTTAAAATTCATAGCAGCAGTAGAGTTGGAAAAACAGACGGATCTGTGAGAAATTCTAGGTAAAATTGCAGGACTTAGTGATACTTTGGATATGGGGGAAAGAAGGAAAGGAGCTCTTGGTTTGTGCTTCCAGGGCTGAATGAATTGCAATGGCATACCCTGTGATAGGAAATTCTAGAGAATGTCTGGGGTTGAAAGGGGAAGAAGAACGTGATTCGTTTTGCAAATGTTGGGTTTGAATTACTTTTGAGATACCCAAGTGATGATGTCGGGTGAGCAGGTGAACATCAGGACTGGAGCTTAAGAGAGAGATGGTAATATGAATCTGGAAGACATGGGTATACTAATAGTAACAGGAACTGTGAGTGTGCATAAAAAGTCATGAGGAATCTGAAGATTTACCCCTGAGCCAGTCTGGTTCTAGCCTGAGGAGCCAGAGAGGTAGGGCTTAAAGCAGCAACAATGTTGTTAAACACAAGCCAAAGAAGAAGGTAAATTTCAGAGTGCAGTGTCACTGCTGCTGTGAATTCAATAGGACATGACCTAAAACATTACCATTTCACAACACTGGAACTAAAACAGAACTATGTATAAAATGCCATGAGAGCACAGAAAAAGGCTAGCAACTCTGGAAGGAGAAAAGGGTTGATCAAAAGAAGTGATCTTTAAGCTGTGTCTGAGGAATAAATAGGAGTTGCTCACTAAAGCAGCCCAGGGTTAAAACGGCAATACTTGGTGAAGGTATTGCTATTTCTCCAAAAAGAAACAAAAAGTCTTTATTAGGCTGATGAATGTCCAAAAACCCTATTCCCCGCATTCCTAGATCAGTCATCCTAGTCATTTTCTTTCTTTTTTTCATCCTAGTCATTTTCAATTACCCTGTTTCCACATCCCTGCAAGGCAAAGTAGACATCCTCACCTAGCAGTCTAGCCTCTGTCATGTTCCCCAAAGCCCACAAAATCAGAATATGGGGGTTGCGGGAGAGAAAAATAATATTAACCTAGCAACAAAAGTCATATAAAGTCTCAGACTTCGGGATTGGAAGGTAAGGATTCCTGATTCTGTAACAGAGTGAATATGAAGGTTATATTATCTTTATAATACAAAGATCAAATGAGAAGGCAGGAAAATTAAATAGAAGACAAGAGAACATACAGGAAGATAAAGAATTATTTTCCTTCTTGATTGCCAGCAACAGTCTTTGAGTCAGATGACCAGGGCCATCTTTTTAGTAATGAGGAGCAAAGTATCTTTTAGAGAATCCACAAACGCTGAACTCCAATCTGTAGAACTAAAATTACAATGCCACATATTGATACATTGAACTGAAAATACACTATAAAACTATAGAAAAATGGATGCCTAATATTAGAATAGTTGCTTTAAAAACACAAACTTAAATTATGCTTACCCACTAAAATATTATACTTAACACAAGTTATTATTTTGTACATAGATGAATCAGGAATAAACATTTTTGTATCTACTAAAATTCAAAAAAATAATAGCTAAACCCTGAGTCTCCCTCCTTTTTCCCAAGTTTTCACATTCACTTAACAGTTATCACTGTTATTCCTTTGTGAAATTTTAAATTTTAAGCTCTTTTAAGGGAAAAGTCAATTTCTTTATATAGATTTTTTTCATTTACTTGCCGTTTCCGGTTGAGAGTGCATTAAATCGCAAGTATGTGGATACTACTCACTTGCCTAATAATTGTCTTAAAATGGGCTTTCAGGAATCACATGGGAATACATTTTGGAGTGAAATCGCTGTTATTTACCATTTTTTCCCAGCTTGTTCAAGTGTGTTGAAGCATAAATACATTAGGGATAATTAATGATATGACGGATGATTTCATCCCACCGTGTTTTCCCAACCTTCTGTGTTGGCTTTGTTCCTTTTTCCGCCTCATATTCTGACAAATTCGTGGTCTTTGTCACACAGTAATCAGGAGAGAACTGAAAAGAAGGGCGCTATCCTCGGAGGAGTGCTGTATATTATGACTCATCCCTTCCAAGGGAAACACAGAGAAGGAACAGTTTCCTTTAGGCGACCTGCACGTGGCCAAGATAGGGATTTTAGTGGGACTGAGCTGCAGGGGTGGGTCTGCAATTAACCCCAGAGAGATGATGGGAAACCTTTTAAGGGGTGAGGTTTGACATTACAGAACTGTCGCAGGAAGGGCCCGGGGTGAGAGACTATACAAGAAGGGGAGAGGAGGCCTGGGGGATGACGGGAGAGGGTGGGGACCCCCTGGGCCGCGAGGTGGTACCTGCGCGGGCTCGAACGCCCCTGCCACTGAATCCCCGATCCAGAGATGCTCCCGGAGAAGTTGTTGGTAGCTGAGGCAGTGCTTCACCGCGGATGGCACGTTCCCCATGGCCAGGTCCGGGGCGGCTGTAGGCGATGGGAGAGAGCGGGGAGGAGAGGGATGCGGGCCGGGCGCGCGCTGCGGTCCCGCGCCGGCCCCCGAGCGCGCCTTCCGCCTCCCGCGCGCGCTGAGCCCGGCCCCGCTCTGTGTACTGCAGCGGCGCCAAACCGAGAGCGCCCAGAGCAGGGCGCGCGGGAGACACCTGCGCGCACGCGGGCCACCCGGAGCCGAAGCGCGGAGGAGATACTCCCAGCGTGGCGCGCCATCAAAGGAAGAGTGTCTGCGTTTTCTTGTCTGGCAGTTTGCTCATTCCCAGCCTTTGGGGTCCACTGTAGATGCGTCCAGCCTCGAACTCACCTGAGTTTATCTTCATAACAATAAACTTGACATATACACACAGATTTAAAAGGTAACCAACAAGGACCTACTGTATAGCGCAGGGAACTCTGTTCAATATTCTGTAATAACCTAAATGGGAAAAAAACTTGAAAAAGAATAGATACATGTATTCGTACAACTGAATCACTTTTCTATACACCTGAAACTAACACAACATTGCTAATAAACTATACTCCAATATAAAATAAAAATTTAAAAATAAAGACATCAGTCATATTGGCTTAAGGCCCACCCAAACAACCCTTCAAATCAGAAAATCAACCCTGACACAGCACTACCATCCAATCTACATACCCCATGCAAATTTCACCAACTGTATCAACACTGTCCCATTTGCTCAAAAAATAGTTATATTTTTAAAATATTATGAGACAGGAAATATGCTCAATATTTTGTAATAACCTGTAAGGGTAAGAATATATATATATATACATACATATATATATATACAACATAGAACACATATATGTTATAACTTAGCCCATACATTTATACGACGTATGCCAAGCTTCTGTTTTATTGTTTTCTTTGCTGTTTTTCTCTTTGCTTCTAATATTAAGGTTTTATATTTTGAATAAATGATGCAGATCCAAAGTCTTCATATGGAAAAATTTCTTTATGACCTTTCCTTTATTTCCTTGTTAGTACCCCACCTTAGTTATTTCTGCAATGGTTTCTCTTTATATGAAATTATTATATCAATTATATCAATCTATGGCATATGCTAAAATAAATTTCTTGGAGAGTTAAAAAGATCTGAATCATTTTGCTGTACACCTGAAACTAGCACAACATTGTAAATCAGCTATACTTCAATTTTTTTTTACAATATATGAACAAAAAATATATAAATATTCTGAGGCAGTTTGCAAGGTTAGAACACTTATATACAACAGTCTAATAAAGAAGAAAAGATAGAAGGTGGTAAATTAGGGGAGATGTCACAGATAACTCGGTAAGTCAGTCAGTTGTCAGTAAATGGGTAGTACAGGTTAAGCACTGAAATGGAGTTCAGTTGTTTAAAGACATGCAGGGCACAAAATTATTGAAGCAGCTAAAGTGATTCAAACTGAAAAGTGTAAACATATCCTTACATCATTAGAAGAGCACTAGTCTTGAGTGGAGAGGTGTTGGGAAGATGGTCCTGGAACAGGCCACCTCCCTGCATCCCCCTCTTTCACAAGCACACCTACATCTACCCACTCTAAAATTCTTCAGCTGAGTTCAGCACCTGCAATTGAACGGACATCAAGAATAGCCTTGTGCTGCCAAGTGGCATGGCCAGGGGTACCAGTCAGCCCCACTGGTTGCTGCAGCAAATATAAATTAGGAGCTGGCTGATACCTAGTCAGCCAGCTCTTAATTACACATAAAAGGATTCACAGATTACTTTGTACATCATAGTATAAAACACTTAAGGAAATTAACACCCAGAATAAGCAAACCTTCATTCACACTTGTGAGGGTGGTGAGACTCCCACTGGTAATAGAAGTAAAGCAGTTAAGGACAGAAAAAGACAAACAATGGAAGAGGGATCTTTTGGATCCTTAGTGAAACAGGACCGGAAAGGCAAAGAGGATGAAGTGATCTTATAGCTCTCATCACTTTGATCAAGGAGAGTTAACTTGAAGAACATGATCTGAGCTGCCAAAGTGAGGTCATGCAACTTTTGGAAGCCTTTAAAACTCTCTAATGCACCAAAAATTCCAATTATTATTTATCTGAACATTATTTTAGAGGTATATATTCATAGGCCTAAATCTCTATGATAAGTTATTTTCGGTAGAGCTCAACTCTTATTCTTCCAACACAGTTGAAATGAAGCTTAGAGGTTGCATCAATGCCTATTACCACTCTTCTCTCCTTTTTGTAATTCTATAACAGGGAACATGATATTTGAAAGAATTTGAAAGGCCCCAATTTGAACAACAGTAATTTAGCAAGGTAATTTTATCATGGAGTCAGTTTAATTATTTGTCATCAGTCAGACAATTAATATTGAAATCTAAACTTTTGGAGAATATAACCTCTGAGATAAGCCAGATATTGTATGATTCTCTGCTGCTAAGAAAAAGAACACCCAGATATAAACTTTACTGTTTAATAGTTTTCTAAATGGGGAAGTTTAGAAAATTTCTTATCTCAGTTAGGGATTTCCCTGGTGGTCCAGTGGTAAAGAATCCACCTTCCAATGCAGGGGACGAGGGTTTGATCCCTGGTTGGGGAACTAAGATTCCCACATGCCATAGGGCAATTAAGCTCACGCACCACAACTACTGAGCCTGCGCACCTCAACCAGACAGCCGACATGCCACAAACCACAGAGCCCATGCACTTTGGAACCTGCACGCCACAACTAGAGAGAAGTCCAAGCACTACAAGTAGAGAGGAGCCCACGTGACTCAATGAAGAGCCCACGCACTGCAACGAAAGATCCCTCATGCCACAACTAAGACCTGACACAGCCAAAAATATAAAATAAAATAAATAAAAAAAGAAAATTTCATATCTCAATTAGCTCACCATAGTAATACAGGTTTGTTTTTTTTTACAGAGAAACCTTATAAACATAAAAATATTGAATACAGTTTTATTTTCATGCATTTCATGTGGAAATTCTATAATATCAAAAATTGAAATTATGATTCCTGTAAATACCAAAACTGTTAGCAATAATAAGGACCAAATAAAGACTATCTTAAGAATGTTTAATCTCATATAAAAGGGAGTGAAAATAGATGCACTTTTGCTGGCCTGTAGCTTGATGTTAAATCTAATCATAAATGCTTAAGATTTATAAATTCAAAAAGCTTCAACTTATAAATCTGAATAATATTAGTGTACATATTTTCTGTTTTTATGATTAAAATGAAAATTCTCCATAGGTACCCCTGTTAGTGCAAATCTAAGAAGCTCTAGGTAATATAAGAATATATATATATCTTTTCATATTCTTTTCCATTATGGTTTATCACAAGATATTGCATATAGTTCCCTGTGCTCTACAGTAGAATCTTGTTGTTTATCTATTTTATATATAGTAGTTTGAATCTGCTAACTCCAAACTCCTAATTTATCCCTCCTCCTTTCCCCTTTGGTAGCCATAAATTTGTTTTCTACATCTGTGAGTCTGTTTCTGTTTTGTAAATAAGTTCATTTGTGTCATATTTTAGATTCCTCACGTAAGTGATATCATATGGTGTTTGTCTTTGGCTGCTTACTTCACTTTGTATGATCATCTCTAGGCCCATCCATGTTGCTGCAAATGACATGTTACATGCAAAATCATTCAAGTTTACCTGCCTCTCCTGAATTACTCGACTCCCTTCGCTCTTTAACCTCCTATCCCAAATTTCATCTGTCAACCAGGGAAGTTAGTTAACATCTTGGACCCATCCATCCACTGTCTCTTTCTGTTTTCCTATTGACTTGTCTCTGTGCTCCTTCTCTTGGAAGGCATCACCGTAGTGCAGTGGTGGAGCTTAAGTGCTGGTTTTAGATCCTCCGTGATGGGAGTCTGGCTCCACCCGTTGGCAAATGAGTGACCTTTGCAAGTTCTTTAGCCACTGTTTCTTATCTGTAAGATGGCAATGATAAAACTTCCTACCTGACAGAGCTGTTACAAAGATGAAACGGGCTAGAACATGTAAAGTACTCAACACAGAGTCTCTGGCACATAATAGACACCCAACGAATGTTAGCTATTACTACTACTGTAGCCTGGTTTTCTGCTTTATTTTGCATTCACAAATCTAACCTGTATAGCCTGAGACATTTTTGAAAATACATATCTGGTCAATACTTCTAAGATTAAAATCCTTAGAGATTTTGCAGAGAAATTATTTCTTAAAATGATACACTTTTTCTTGATGAGACTCTTAGTTATCTTTCCAGTCTTAACTCCTGTCCATTTTCTGAACTCATCCTTCACTCCAGAAATATCAAATTATGTGTAATTTCCCAAGTTTTAGCCTCTTCCATGCTCTCGAATCATTCTAATCTTGTTCTTTATTATAGACACTTTGGGAAATACAGACGATACATAAAGATAAATCACCCATCATTCTAATGCTAGAAATACTTTAATATATTTTCTTTTAGAGAAAAAAATAAATTAATATTTCCTATCTTTGCTTTTTATTCTGCCCTTTTCATTTAACATTGATTTAAATTCTTTAAAACTAGGATGCTAATGGCTATGCAATATTCATATATATATAATATTTTCAATAATCTTTTAAAGTATAGCCTTTTACTTATTTTTGAAAGGGAAGATTGGTGGGTAGACTGTGATCTTGTGAATATTTGTATAAATAATTATGTAATTAATGTTCCAAAAATAGCATGACTGTGGAACTCTTCCACTACCGTTGTATTTCTGTCAATTTCTAATTATATTTTTTACAAAGTTTTGCTTTAAGCATACAGTATTTCCTTGGTTGGAGATTTGCTTGTGTAAGTTTATCCTTGGTGATGTTTTTTTTGTTGTTTTGTCTTTTGTTATGTGGGAGGAGTTCTATCGGAATCTCGTACGGATTATTGCAATACCCCTAAAGAATGGTTTCATATTTGCTTGGCCAGAATTTCTAATGAGTTTGGTTTGACAGTTGTAGGATTTATTGTTTGCTAATATCTTAGCT